ATCCGGTTTACCGGAAACGAGGTAACCCCGGAGTTAACTCGACCGAACGCGATTTAACTCCCGCATTTTTACGGATTCATGGTACCAAGGAAACTTTCCTAGCGTTTCGTCGCGGCCGCCCCGCAAAACGGACGAAACGGAATCTGAATTTTAGAGAAGCAAGCTGGAGTCGTGTTTCTTTCGCGTCCCTCGATGGAAAACGATTCTCGAGTACTTTAGCGCCACCGGAGAAAATTCGTGGCCGCGAAAACGTCGTTTGCATGGAAAAGTAAATTTCTTGTGTCTTGACTGAATTCGGATTCGCGCAATTAACGTCAAGTTCCGTCGAATCAAATATAATTTTACGTAGTATATTCTCTGTAAAAGTGTTAAATAACAAACTGTGAATATCAGATTTAATCCCCCGGTGAGATTTTCATTTATTTTACAAGAACATAAATAAAACACAAAGTAATCATTTCTCTACGGTATCAAATTCACCCCTTGATTTTACGCGTTTCTTGATTTAATGCGACACCTGATCTCATCGCATCCCTTAGCTGCGATATATAACCTCGAGCTTTCCCCTGATTATGGGCATCTATTGATTTCGCGTTTCCTTTGATTTTTCACCGTGACTCGAGAAGCTCCTCATCGAAAACATCTCCTTCCCGATACATCTTGGCTTCTTATTCCCAAGAAAATGATTCGACATCTCTTTGCTCGCCTTCGAACTAAATTTTATACGATAAATAAACCATATTTGTAATACAACACGTTATACTTGGGCATCTGTAAAAAGAATCCTTAAAGTGAAACTCCTGTGTTGGTATTCGGTCCAGGATCAATAACATAGCAGCAGAATTCTAATATCGATACGAATTTCTATGTTTGCCCAACAAAATAAAACACCAGTTACCCGAAGAAATTACGTTGGCCGTGCTCTGCCTTAACCTCCGGCCCAACCCTTGCAGGATCAAACTACGATCTCTGAAAAAACGTAACAGACACCTGGTAACAGTTCCGTAGGGCCAAACGACGGGCAAGTCGCTCGTAAAAACCGCATGGTATCCATTGTTCCGAGTTTTTCTATGCCCCTGTTACAGATACGACCGGTGATCGTGGAACGGGGTCGATGGGGGTGGGTCGCGTGTAATACGCTTGAATCGCAAAAACGCTTTTCGCGAGAACGTCGACCTTTATGGGATTACAAGCCTGGCGCCTGTTCTCGTTGTATCTAAGAACCTTGTACATCATACCATACATGGCTACAGTTGCGCTAACGATGACTTTTTGTCCGAAATGTCCGTTATGGATCGAAATTTGAACATTTTCTGATTTAAAGGCATTTTACCATCGACCATAGAATGGTCATAGAAGTTGCGGAACCACAACGCATTTTGTACTTTGAGTCGAACATCGATAAAATTGATAACCACTGATTACGGTTATCATTGTCGCGTGAAAGCGGGCATAACCGCTTCGCAAGCCGCAAAATAAGCGTTTTTATTCAGCTGCGAGTGGAAGCCGCAGTTGCTGCGTTTCGACCACAGGAAACTCCGGTGAACACGGGTCGGCAATTTAGCGTGCTAAGTGGTTAGGGGTTAGCACCACGTCGAAAACACGTTGCACGGTGTATGGGTTCGTGGAAAAGTGGTCCCCCGCGTGGTTCACCTTTCTACGATTATATTCCCTGAGTACGGGGAATATAGAACGAAGCTGGGGCGGTCAGTGGGTTAGGTTAAATCAAAGTGACTTTAACTTCTTTCGCTTGCGCTGAAGGAATTTCTCGAAAACAGCATTCTCGTGATTTAAGCGTAATTTAAAGTTACCGGCTGCTAACTTACGGGTTAAACTCGTCGACTGACTGCTTCGGTGTGCAAACTCCACTGATTCTGTCGTAGTTTAAATTTTAAACTTATTGGACGGTACATTGCACGGACTGAAGTTACCAATTTGCAAGTGTACGAGTGGTTTTAAGTTACTAGATGCTCAAACTTCGAAACTGCGATCAAAGGATAGTTTATTTTCAAACGAAAACGTTGATAATAACCCGGGCTTACAGCTTGCATATCCTTGGCCAATATTTAAATAATTTAAATCCTCTTTCGTAAATTTATTTCACAACCGGATCCATAAAAACGATTAATACGTAAGAAGAATCTCCTCGTCAGCGAAATCACGCGAGAAATAAATTTCGCTTTACCGAAACGTTGCCAGAATCTTGCGGTTTTCTGTCTCGAATTATAGTATCTCGTCCGTCATTTTCCATTCGTCGGGCGTACTTCCGGGCGAACGCAACTTCCCTTTCCTTGGTCCCGGGCTCAACGAAATAATTTCTGCTTTTCGCGGACCGGTTGCCCGCTACAGATGGACCGGGAGCCGCTGTTAATGTATCACATAAATAGCGATCTTCCGGCGTGCAGCGTGGCCGGGATACACGGGTTTCCGTGCGAGACACATTCTGAATACAGCGATTTCCTGCAATAACAATCGCGGAATTATGTATGCCGGCTGCGTAGGTCACGGCCTCTCGGCCTCATTCCGTTGCATCTGCTGCATCATGGATCAACGGCACAGAACAACGGCAGGTGCGCGGATCATCCTGATATACCTTTCCGCATGCCAGGGGATCGTGAATCGAAAACACGAAAGAATTCCTCTCTTTAACCCCGATTATATTCCCTGAGTACGGGGAATATAGAACGAAGCTGGGGCGGTCAGTGGGTTAGGTTAAATCAAAGTGACTTTAACTTCTTTCGCTTGCGCTGAAGGAATTTCTCGAAAACAGCATTCTCGTGATTTAAGCGTAATTTAAAGTTACCGGCTGCTAACTTACGGGTTAAACTCGTCGACTGACTGCTTCGGTGTGCAAACTCCACTGATTCTGTCGTAGTTTAAATTTTAAACTTATTGGACGGTACATTGCACGGACTGAAGTTACCAATTTGCAAGTGTACGAGTGGTTTTAAGTTACTAGATGCTCAAACTTCGAAACTGCGATCAAAGGATAGTTTATTTTCAAACGAAAACGTTGATAATAACCCGGGCTTACAGCTTGCATATCCTTGGCCAATATTTAAATAATTTAAATCCTCTTTCGTAAATTTATTTCACAACCGGATCCATAAAAACGATTAATACGTAAGAAGAATCTCCTCGTCAGCGAAATCACGCGAGAAATAAATTTCGCTTTACCGAAACGTTGCCAGAATCTTGCGGTTTTCTGTCTCGAATTATAGTATCTCGTCCGTCATTTTCCATTCGTCGGGCGTACTTCCGGGCGAACGCAACTTCCCTTTCCTTGGTCCCGGGCTCAACGAAATAATTTCTGCTTTTCGCGGACCGGTTGCCCGCTACAGATGGACCGGGAGCCGCTGTTAATGTATCACATAAATAGCGATCTTCCGGCGTGCAGCGTGGCCGGGATACACGGGTTTCCGTGCGAGACACATTCTGAATACAGCGATTTCCTGCAATAACAATCGCGGAATTATGTATGCCGGCTGCGTAGGTCACGGCCTCTCGGCCTCATTCCGTTGCATCTGCTGCATCATGGATCAACGGCACAGAACAACGGCAGGTGCGCGGATCATCCTGATATACCTTTCCGCATGCCAGGGGATCGTGAATCGAAAACACGAAAGAATTCCTCTCTTTAACCCTTTGCACTATTTTGACGAGTCTGACTCGTGACGCGCTCGTACTTCGGCCGTGATCAATTTTACTCGAATTTTTAATACGCTTCAATTTGAAGTTCAAGTCCAATTATAATTTGCATAGTTAACGATTGCGTAATAACGTATTGACATAACGTTAATATTGTAGCTGTAATTAGTCAGTTCTGACTGACGCACCTGAAAAATAAGTCATAGTGCAAGGGTCGGTTGCATTTGTGGAATCTACGCTCTATGTACATGCTGTTCATTTAATATCTAAATGTTAGACGATTTAGTGCAGTCTCGTATGCTAGTTGAGTCTCGTGCAGTCTTAATCGATAGAAATTTGATGTATTGCAATAATGGCGCGATGATATTGGAAATAAATATTTTGTAGCTCAGTTAACGCGATCTTTAAAAGACCGTTACCGGAGAGAAAGGAAGGAAGAGAAACGAGCCGGCGGCGAATGGTGCGTTTCCGGTGTATCAAAGCCGGACGCCGCACAGACGGGAGCTCGTTAGAAATCATCGACAACGTCACCGCGGGTGACTATTTAACCGATCCTCTTGATAGGATGTTTCCTTGCAAAATTATTAACAATGTATCGTAGCAAGCGGAAACGCGGGTTGAGACACCGCGACATTTCATACGCCACCGCTCCCTCTGCGACTCTGCGATCCACCTCCTATTAACTAATTAGCGTTTAATTAGTGGAGAGACTGCAACGCGACACAAGGGTAACTAAAAAGTAACGGCCTGTTTCGCGGTAATTATCCGGTTTTTGATTTCCCCTTCTTCTGTGCGCATCTAACGAGCTGTCTACCATGCGCTAGGGACTATTTCTCTTTCTCTCTTTTCCCTGGTAACCAGACATTTCGAAATTTCTGCGTTTCCCCCAGTCCCATGGTTCAAAGTGTAACATCTGTGAAAGGAGTTACCTAGTCTGATCACTCCTTAGAGCCAATTATCCTTAATTAGTAAAAGAACAAGTAGATTTTTGGTTGTTGGCAGGGGAAGGTACATGTAATCTCCGGAAATGTCAAGGGATACGTAACGAGTAACGTTGTCATTAAGCTAACAAGAAGATTATTAAATCTCGGCAGCGCCGCGGAGCCATTCAGTCTCGTTATAATTAAAAGATGGTCGAGCAGGACGTAATGGCAGTTTGTCGACTCTTCTTAATATTTTCCGCTCCGCTGATATCATTGAAGAACCTAGTTATCCCCCTTTACTGTGATATCACAGGTTTATTATCGTACGATGGTGTTCCAAAAGTTAGTTACATCCTATCAATACTATTTAACTTGCAACGACGAGAAGATACAATCTCACGAACATTGTCCTATATTTGACGGTTTCAGAGGAGTCTCCAGAAAGCAGAGGAAATCACAGCGTCGAATGCAGCGCCACGATGACGCGAGCAGCGCCAGAACGACGGAGAAGACGATCGAGCGTCGCGACGCAACACGCCCTCAGGCTGATCCTGCAGATCCTACTGATACAACATTTCTCGACGACCAAAGCCACCGATCAGATGGCCGAGTGCCCACCCCCAGAAACTATTCCAGGCTGTCCCTGTTACAATTTTGAGGACGGTCTTTTCCTGGAATGCCCTGGCGCCACCGAGGATACCCTCAGGACTACTCTGCAAGGAGTTCTGAATGCTGGTGGTGAGTGCACGAAACGTACACGTTGACGCGAGGATAATGCGAACTTTCTCGCAAAAACTTCAGCCCCGCTGCGCGATCCAATTTTCATTTGTTAACGAAACGACCCGACGATAGCCGACAGAGATTATTATTATAATCAGGATAACGGCGTTTGCATTTGCTCCAACTCGCTATACAACAGATAAATTAACGTCCAACGAGTAGTTTCATGCCGGCGTTTTGAGCAGAGGCTTTTATCTCTCGCGATAGTAATCGAGCGTTCAACTTTATGCTAAACTTGTTACGCTGTTGTCGGAACGTTTGAGCGAATGATTTTTTGGACGTGTTAAATAATCAGTCTTTGAACCAGCTTACGATAGCAACAGCACCTTTCAAGAGATTATTAACTTTACACCATCTATAAAATCCCAAATCTGTACGGAATTAATAGCCGGGTCGTTTACGACCGTTTCCAGGAGCGGGAACGACGGTGCAGTCGTTGAGCGTTTACGAGCTGGACAAGACCATAGAGGAATTGAAAGATGACTGTTTTCCGGTCGGTTCGCAGATCAGGCACCTTCAAATATCACATTCTTCCCTTCGGGAACTTAGCGAAGGCGCGTTCGCGAATCTGAAAGACAGTTTGGAATCGTTGGCCCTGGTTTCTAGTCGTTTGCCCCAGGTGCCGCAAAAGTCGCTGGCCGACCTGAGGAAGCTAGCCGCTCTGGACCTCGAAGCGAACCTCATACAAGAACTCTCCTCTTACTGTTTCTACGGACTGAAGTTGATGAAACTGACTCTGAAAGGCAATCAAATATCGAAGATCTCCGAGTACGCGTTCGCGGGCCTGGAGGATAGTCTGAGCGATCTGGACCTGGCCGAGAATAAGCTGAAACTGTTTCCCATGGCGCCACTGAGGAGACTAGAAAGCTTGGCTTCGCTCACCCTGGCCTGGAACGAGATCTCGGAACTCCCAAACGACGGCTATAGTCTGCTAAGCTCGTTGCTGATCCTCGACCTGAGCAGCAACAACTTCGAGAAGCTCGCAGAGGACTGCTTCAGACCCTGTCCCATCTTGCACAGTCTGTCCTTGTACTACAATTCCATCGAGACCATTCACAAGGACGCGTTCGTATCGCTGAAAGAGCTGGAGTCCATCGATCTCAGTCACAACAAGATCGTGTTTCTCGACTTGGCCACCTTCAAGGGGAACGAGAGGCTGCGCACCATCGAGTTAAGTCATAATCACATTCATTACATCGGCGGAGTGTTTGCCAGACTGCCAGAATTAAGGGAACTCTACCTGGCAGAGAACAATATCCTGGAGATCCCCGGGGACGCTTTCATAGGCAGCGTCAGTCTGGCGGTCATCTACCTCCAACAGAACGCCATCAGAAGAATCGATGGCAGGGGTCTGACCGGTCTCACGCAATTGGCTCAATTACATCTTAGCAACAACTACATCGAGAAGGTGCCGCCAGAATTTCTGGAACACTGCGTGATGCTCTCGTCCCTGTCCCTGGACGGTAACAAGATCAACGAGCTTCAGCCAGGCACGTTCGTCAAATTGCATCAGCTCCGCGAGCTGCGACTGCAGGACAACAACATCACCGAGGTGAAGCGCGGAGTCTTCGCGCCTCTTCCGTCGCTTCTGGAGCTTCACCTGCAGAACAATGCTATCACCGACATGGAAACGGGAGCGCTGAGGACCCTGAGCAGCCTACAGCACGTGAATCTCCAGGGAAACCAGCTGACCGTGCTGGGCGACGTGTTTCAGTTGTCCTCTTCGGAATCGTCGGCTGGAGGCAGCTCCCTGGTGTCCATTCAGTTGGACAGCAACGGACTAGCGGTGCTGCACAACGACTCCCTGCGTGGTCAAGCCTCGGTCAGAATCATGTGGCTGGGTCACAACAAGTTGACGCATCTCCAGGCGCCTCTCTTCAGGGACTTGCTCCTCGTGGAACGACTCTATCTGACCAACAACTCCATCTCCAGGATAGAGGACGGTGCTTTCCGCCCGATGCAAGCTCTGAAATTCCTCGAACTAAGCATGAACAAACTCAATCACATAACAGCGAGAACGTTCTCGGAGTTGCACGAGCTCGAGGAGTTGTACTTGCAGGACAACGGTCTCAAACGATTGGACCCGTTCTCCTTAACCGCTCTGAAGAAGCTGAAAGTTCTGGACCTAGCCAATAATCATCTGACCGTCCTGCACGACGCGATCTTTCAGGAAGGTCTGCCTATCAAAACACTGAACTTGAAGAACTGTTCCATCGTGAACGTGGAGAGCGGCGCTTTTCGAGGACTGAACAACCTCTCCGAACTGAACCTCGACGATAACCTTCTCGTTTCTGCTGCCCTGTCTAACCTGAGGATATTTGGCCTACGCACACTGTCCGCGTCCGGGAACAACTTCAGTCAGATCTCGGAGCATAGCCTGAACGGGTTGCCGTCCCTTCAGGAACTGCTGCTGAACGAGGCGGAGATCTCGCAACTGCCAGAAATCGTGTTCGTGTTGAATCGAAACTTGGCGCGTTTGCATTTGAACCGCAATTACCTTCGCAACCTTCCGCCTGGCATATTCGATCGGCTGTTGACCCTTCGAGAGATTCGACTGGATCAGAATCGGTTCCAGGGCATTCCGTATTCCGCGTTGGCCAGCGCCCTCAACCTGGAGATCCTCACGCTGTCGAACAACGAGATCGTGAACGTGGACGTGGCCAGCTTCGCCAGCTTGAAGTACCTGAGGGAACTGGACCTCAGCCATAACCGAATTGAAACTATGTCCGGCTTCGCCATGGCCAACCTGTCGCGCCTTATCTCCGTGGACCTCAGTCACAACCATTTGAACGCGCTTCCAGCCAACTTCTTTGCTCACTCGACGATGCTGCGTCGCGTGGACCTGTCCGAAAACAAGTTCAGACAAATTCCAGCGGTGGCGTTGTCCGGTCAGAATCTTCCAGGGCTGGCGTGGTTGAATATGACCAGGAATCCGTTGAACAGGATCCACGATCTTCCGTCGGAAGCTAAATATCCTATTCTTCAGGAAGTACACATATCCGGCACGAACCTTAGCATAGTCACTTCGCAGGACTTCGAGGCCTTTCCCGCTCTGCTGCATCTGTACTTGGGCCAGAACTGCATTCTCAGAGTATCGCCTGGCGCGTTCAGAAGTTTGCCCAACCTGCTGACGCTGCATCTCGGTATGAACAGCTTAGAAATTCTGCCGAAAGAGAGGCTTCAGGGCATGGAGCATCTTCGGATCCTGAATCTGACGCACAATCGACTGAAAGAGCTCGACGAGTTCCCGGAGGACCTGAAATCTCTTCAGGTATTGGACCTGTCGTACAATCAGATCACGATTGTGGGCAAGGTGACGTTCAAGAACTTGGTCAGCCTGGTGGAACTACATCTTTATGGTAATTGGATCAACGCTATATCCAGCGAGGCGTTCAGACCGCTAAAGAAGCTACGGCTCCTGGATCTGAGCAGAAATTACTTGGAGAATCTACCATTGAACGCGTTCCGACCCCTGGAGACCCAGATACGGAGTTTGCGTGCCGAAGGTAAGTCGTAAACTTGGCTAAAAAGATTATTGGAATATTCTGGGAACGGTAAATGTCCCCGGGTAGAAGATGTCGACGTCTCATTTGTCGCGGTGAGTTTTACCCGACGCACAATCCGGTATAATCCTGTACGTATCGAAGCTATCGATCCAAATGGAGTTACTGGCCGTTGGAGATCCAATCATATCGCTGGTCACGTGCAATCGTCTCGAATCGATACTGGCCACCGGACAATCAAACACGCTCCGCAATTCTCTCTCATCCTCTCTTCGCGAGTCTGCAAACTAGTCCTTCACGGAAGTATAATGTCCATCGATTCTCCTAATCCCCCTCCTCTCGAAAGACCTCCGAATTTAATGGGTACACCATGAACGTGGCCCAATGTCCACGCGCTATGTCGGATCGATACTTTGATGGTTTCTGGTAACTCGGTCTCCTCTAAAACGCGTTGGACTGTACAATGTCCTTAAGTGTCCGTAAATTCCTTCGAATTGTACTCTCCGGTTTTCCCTCGAAAACGACCACGATGTTTAAGATACACCGCTTCTTGTATCAACACGGCTTACAACACGCTTTAAACGGAACACCCTGTCGATGTCCGTAGAAAATCCGCTCCATTGCAGCTGCGAGTCGCAAGAACTCTGGGAGTGGTTGCGAGATCATCAGAAGCTGGTTAGCGGAGTAGGCGGCGGTCGCGGTCGCGGAAGAAACGGCTTCGGGGTTAGCGACGTCGAAGGTGGTCTGTTGAGATGCCAACAACCGCCGGAACTACGAGGACAAGTTTTCCTCGATCTCGACCCCCACGCTTTCTGTTCTGTTCCGTTGATCCTGAAGCTGGCGATCCAAGATATTCAACCGTTCTCCGTGCTGGTATCCTGGCAGAGCAGGAATCATTCCGGCCTTCACGGTTACCAAGTGGGCTACCACGTTCTGGACAACGCCGACGAGGTGAATTTTATTCAAATTTCTCAAACATCGTCAGTCAGAAGGTGTAAGTTTTTGAATCGCGCTGTTGCAGGTTCGAGTAAAGCTGCTGGACCCCAAGGCACGTTCCGTGAAGCTGACGAAGTTAGCCTCGGATACCCGCTACCTGATCTGTGTGCTCGGGCTGGGCAGTTGGGGCACGTCAATCCCGGAGGACATAGGTTCTTGGCAATGGAACGCCTCTCACGACGACGTGATCGAGAGCTCTGCCCGTCCATCCATGGTGAATTCTCTCACCAGTCGATGTACAGAGGTCAGAACGCTGGATGCTCCCGATTCGATAGTCGGTGACGGAACTATGAGCGACAGAGGAGGCTTGGCGAACATCCTGACCAGAAGGTTAGGCCTCATAGTCGGCAGTTGCATGGGGTTCGTGGTGTTCGTCGTGTTGATCTCGGTGCTGGGATACATGAAGATGAAGAAACAAAGGTCCTCGGAGAAGAGGGATCAGCCGTTGTCCTCGAACCCCCAGGCGTACATGTCCTACAGGCATTTCTCGCTGCAGAGCGGCGACAGGGCGGACAACGCGTGTCCCAGCTTCATCAGCAACATCGGTACCACGCCTTTGAACTCGTAGCACAAGCCGAAGGAGCTCGATCGTCGTGTCGTAGAGACGAAGAGCGATCACGATTGTCCAGGTATCTTTGGTTAGCCATAATCTTCGATGTGATCCGATATTCGGGACGACACCAGGTTTCGTTCTTCGAGGGTCGAATCAGTGTCTGGATCGGGTACTGCACTTTAAACTAGGACACTCAGGCTTTTAGACGGAGTCTGGCGCCATTCTGGACCGTTCAATTAAGAGAAGTGCCAAAACTGATACTCGTAGATTTGAATAAACATTCGACGGTCGTTCTCGCGAGACTTCGACGTCCTCGTTCGTCCGAACAAACGAAAGTTTCTCGCATCGATCCGTTGTGCGGAGCGTCGAACGTACCGAGGAATCACGAAACCGGTCGATCACTTATCAGGTGCCAAAAGAATCGAGGATAGCAAAGACGTACATTGAATCATTTCGGTTTGATCGAAAACAAGTGAAACTCGATGCCATTGCTCATAGCAGCGAACGAACGATTCGCTGAAACCGATCCTTCTCGACCATTCGCGTAAACCGAACAACGACATAAACGACCCCAGTTTTTTGGAACATTCGTTATCTCTCCTACGAAGACTGATTTTTTAAACGACGTTTCCCCCTCATCGTTTCGAATGCTCGTATGTATAATCACGAACGCTCGGTCGAAACGCGTCTCCGTATTATTAGAATTTATTCGAAAATTACCCTTCGAGTACCCCCGATGTACTTATTGCGACGCTGTATAAATTCTAACGAGTCATACGGAGACCCTTTTGATCGACGGTATGTACGACTGGTGAGGATTTTTTTGTAAATAGTATACAGAACTGTCTGGCGACTTAACGATGTTCGTAATGAAAATGCTCATATATTACGATGACTAAACTCGTCCTTTTAGTGCTGCGCAAGCAATATTACAGTTACTCGTATCGATAGTCCCGACGATCAGCACGAAAACTTAATTAAAGAGCCGATCTTTTAGAAGACTCCAAATCGAGTTTCTTTCTTTCGTATAACCCAGTACTGTCCACGAGACGCGTCACGTGGAACGAATGGTTAATAAAAAGAGTCTGAGACTCTGTGCAAAGTCCCGTGAACAGTACCGGCGCAAGAAATCGAAGGATCCAAATCGTCCTTCCGTCGATCATGTGGTTGTAACAGGACTTCTCGAACAACGCTAACAAAGTAACTCCTGCCAAGTAAACGAGTGAAAGATAGAACAAAGAATCGGCTTCGAGTTGCCAAATGTGTTATACGGTGACATTGTGAAAGATGGATTTATTGTATATAGATAGAGAATATGTATACACATAGCGTTCTTTATTATAGCCTAGGCTTTCGGTTAATAAAAATAACACCAAAGCTACCGGTGGATCGTTTCCTTCACTGAACCTGCTCCAGTTTCGAGACGTACAAAAAGGTAAGAGAATTTATGTTCCTTTATTTTTGTTAGTAGTGTAAGACGTTCGAGATGCATAGAAATTATGGTTGGAAGACACGCGTGATGGCGGAGGAATGCGGACAGAGATTAAAGGGGTGCAGGAATCGAACGGTATTTCCAGGTGGATCGACGACGATCCATTAAGTCACATCTCATACGACTAATTAATTAATTATAATGGGGAAGCTGGTTCAAACTGTTTAGAGCGAGCTTGCGGTTCGCTTAGGTTCCGTAATTAACTCCAGGTCAGGCCGAGTATATCCCAGAGCGTCAATCAGTTCCGATCTGGCACGTCGAAACCAAAACAACCCGCTCCAGGGATGCATCGAATTGCTCGCTGCAATAATGCCCGCTTCAATTCGACTCCGCTACACGCAATGAATCTATGTCGAAATGCTTCGGCCTGCGCATAATTAGTTCCAAGACAAAGGACCGCCACAATTGATAACTTTCGATACCAAAAACGTGCTCGAAATTGAATAACCTAGCACCGAAATTATTCTCAACTGCGTCTTAATAAAAAAGAAATGTTCGGAACGAGAAAAAGAAACGAACGAATTCTATGAATACATTATTATCCCGTTAGCTCTAAAACTACGCCGGAGATCCCGTGGAACGCGTATTATCTCGTTATACGCGAAACCGAGGTTGAACGTGAAGGATCGCTAATATCGTTTCTCGTTAACGCGGATAATGCTCGGTGTTCCGTGAGTTAACTAACCGCCCTGAAACTTCATTTTTAATTGATAACAATTGAGACCACAACCTCGAGCAGTGAACGAACCAGCGAGAACTTCCTGATTGGATTTTTCGACAGGTACGTCTGAAACATTACGGAATCGCATTACCCTGCTTCGGTTTAACGAATAAACAAACTTTTTCATATCCCGTACACGGGATTAGCATTAAAGCGACGTTAAATCAAATTTGAGCGAATAATTGGTAAACGAGAAGAAGAGAATTTTCGTTACGATCAACATGTTCAACGGAGCAGCTCGATGTTGAAGCAGACGAAGAATGTATTGTGGCAAAAGGTGTATCGTCGTGACGTAAATTCATTAGATAGGGGCGGCATGAACTGACGGTTAACCTTAATAAACGATAGAACGATTTACTTGCTAACCTCGGCCATTCCTCAGCTCGAACGACGCGTTCTAAATAATGGCCAGGGCCATTCAACTCTCCAACGTTCCAGGCGTGGTTCGTGGGTCCATTGTGTTATCCTTTCGCCTCGTAGTTCCAAGTGTGCCTATTAATAAGGAGCGCGGCACGCCGTTAGACCGTAACTGCACTCCTAGCAAGATACCACAGGCCACGTCATTCTGAACATGGTCGACGAGAAAACGGCAACTCCATAGTTCTGGACGCAGTCTATACACCGCATGCTTGCTGGGAACGGTGTAACTTGCTCGTAAATTAAAGCGTTAACACTTTCGCGCCCGCCGGGGTTTCCCACCTCGTCCTGGAGAGCTCGTAAACTTGCTCAGGCGTAAAAGTGCACGAAATTTAGGCGACATAGGGGCGATAAAGGCTCGAAACTTGACGTCCGGGCTGCACAAAGAAATACCAAATGAAGCGTGAATTCGCTTTAAACGTATAACCTTTTGCGAATCGGCCCCGAATCTTTCGGACCGAGCACGCTTCGATGCGCGCTCGTATCGTTCTTCGAAGATTTGACATTTTACGACCGCGCTATATCGCTCGCGCCCACTATACCCGATTTACAACCACCGAGACCGCTTTAGTGCCGGCATGCAATATCTGTTTCGCCTTTTTTCCCTTTCCCATTGTCTCGCTCCCCTTTGTTTCCTCGTTAAGAAGCTGTATGTTGTTCGAATGAAAATCTGCGATCTTAACATCTTGCATAACGGAATTAGCGGGGTCGAGGAAAGTTTCAACGAGCTCGTGGAAATATCCGAGCTGAATATAAGATACGGGGAGGAATTAAATTCAAAAGGTAATATTCCGGATGTACTTTGGTGGCGAGGATTCCAATACGTAAATCATACACCGAAATGCGTATTCGATTCCGTGTAAACCGAACGAGCGATGTTTATTTCCCAACAGATACCGAATAAATATTAATTATCCGCTATTGGTCCTGTAACGGCGTAGCCCGAGCGTTCGATTTTCGCGAAAATAACGTGAGCTGCATTAATTTTCGATTCTCCCGCGTACGCGATCACAACTATTAAATCAAAAGTTGAAATTCCTTCTCGAGCAATAAACATCTTCGGGAAAGATCGGTGGCACCGTTTTTACAAAATCTACGACAGGCGATTTAGGATCGAGCGGTGATTCAAGGATCGCATTTGGCCAGGAACTGGTCGTGTAATGTTCAATGACTATCGTAATCCCCTTCTCTACAATACGTCAAACATCGATAACGTTAATCGCCGATGCTCTTCGATACGTAATCGCGCAACATCGGATAACTTCTGGCAAACGTTCCGATGGTCTGATTTTACGGTTCGTCCCTCGAAATAATGGCCGACGGCAACGAGATAAATCCACTCGCTCGTATTATAATGGATTAATATAATTCAATAAAATGGACCGGTGCTCGATTAATGCGGCCCGTTGACATTCCCATAGCGTCGCGATCACCACTATCCTGTCCAACCACCACCTACCCCGTCGAATTACGAGGAACAACGACGTAGTGGGCCACGACCACTCGTTACAATAACTCCATTATGCGCCACGCGGATATACACCGTTGTTCGAGCTCATTTGAACGCGGTGGAACGGCTTGTTTCAGGGAACAACCGGCAATGAAGATACACGCTCGCGACCGGATAATCGCGTTAACCTAACGATCGATCGTTGCGACCAATCCGCTGATTTTTACGTCGTTACTTCGTTACGAGGAAAATCGCGGCTTTGAAAAATGTTGCGAAGCGATCGAAAAACGTGACATTGTCTTCCTCGAATATAGAGTTATAGCAGCAGTTTATAGAGCAGGAATTTTTAGGTCAGGTGATTCCTATGTGGAGCACAAGGCGTATTTAATCCGTTTTCACAAGCGACAAACCGAAAAGCCTCCGCTAGGCGCAATAACAATATCGATGATTTTCATTGAAATGGAAATCGCGAACAACACGCCGGGCGTGATCGAGAAAATACGATGACGCTGGTCTCTAGTGCGTAATCGCGGCCAGTCGAACAGAAAATTCACCTAGGCCTCGGGATAAAATTCGCGTCTGAAAAGCAGACGAGTGGTTCCGACAGAAGGATTTTAAACAGAATTTATTCGGCGATCCGTCCGCGCTCAATCTCGTTTTAGAACTCTTTGCCTCGAATTTACCGGCGAAATTATCCTCGCATATTATGACACAGCCCATATACGAAATTGCGGGAAACAAGTTATTAAACACAGTAGGATTACACGAAAGTAGCAAAACTTTGGCTCGTATCGTAAATTCTGTTTAATGTCCTAACGACTGTTATCGAGTTATTTTATTGTCCAGTTTGCAACCTGGTTAGAGACACGCTTCGGTAGACGAGGATAATTCCCGTGGCATCGAGTTCGCTGCGCCTCTTTTATGACACACTGGCCTTGTTGAAAGAGACGGAAACTAGGCGAGCGTGTTTTGCCCTCTCCGTTTTGCTGCACTCGGTCACGCGCATGTTAACGCAGCTCGTGCTCTGCAACGTGCCCTGTTTCGCTTCCTGTGGATGCACCGCCGTAGTCTGTTATTATTTATGGAATTAAATTAACGAGTAAATGGCTCAAGGGTCGTTGCAGCGCGCAGAGAAACCTCGGGTAATTCTGCTCTATGTCTAGAAATTCAGGGATGGTTTCAAAAGTACGAATACTTGCTCGAAACTTTCTGTTTATTACCGTTTTTCCTCTCTTCGATAACGAGTGGAGATTCTTTGCGAATTAACAAAAGATGAAATATTCTTTTCGCGCAAGAAATGCCTGAAAAAATTGTGTGGGTAGTTCGACGTCCACCGAAGGAACATTCATCGCGGCCCTTTTCTTAATGTATGCATAGCCAATATCTCGAACAACAGACTTTAACGAGACCAGACCTGCCCCTTTATGCACGACGACTCTCTCAGACATCGTTTCCGTGACCCTCTCATTGTTGTGCTTTCGAAACGGCCGAGGGGTTGGTTGATCGCGTTCCTCGCGAGACACTGAACATCCCCGGAACAGGGGACGAAGAGAGAGAACTCACGACAAAACCCTGAGGAAGTATTTGGGATTTGGGTCACGCGCCGGGTCTCCAGCGGGATGAAAGGGAGAGAGAGAGCGTGCCAACGTACAATGGTCCCGTGATCCATTGACGAGTACTCGGCTTTTATGGAGCTCGAGACAGTCGCGAGTGAGCTCCTGGTCATGTACGAACGATTAGTCGTGCCATTTAGGTTCATCAAGAGGATCCTGTTCCGTCGTTTCTCTTCGAACTATATAAACCCCGAAGATCTATTTTCACGCCTGTTATATGAGCCAACATCTATTTTGACGCTATTAACCCTTTCGTGGCGACCATTCGCTCTTCCTTTTCATTTCTGCGATAACTCTTGGAAAGTATATTTGTAACACCGATATTTCCGATAAATAGACCTTGAATTTCGGAAAGAAGGTTTGAAGCTTTTACGTATAAAGTCACATTTATAATATCGATGCTCTTCGAGTATATTAGATATCGAATATAAATTTGACCGGAAAGATTGAATCAATTTATGCAAATGATCGGAGTACGAAGTTCTGAGTAAACGTCTTATTCTAAGATTCGAAGCGTGCCCGATCGAGCAGACAATAGTTTCAGCCCCGAATCTTGAAAATATGATTATAGGACTGGATCCCGGTTCACAGAGTTTTCTAAACTATTCCCTGGGAAATGGGCATCGATTCGCATAAAAAGGGAATAGGACAACTTCG